GATGGCGGCGGCCTTCGCATTCTTCTCTGTTGTATAAGGGGAAGTGCTTGTTCCTGTACGTGTGTCTACCATGGTAACAGACGCACAACCAAGTGAAGGTTCAGCTCCTCACCACTTAGACGTCGCCCCTGACTGACTTACTTGAGACTGACTCAGTCTATGGAGCACAGGATCCGTATAGAACCCTGTCAACTACGGTCTCTAGCCTGGAGTCTAATACTACAGCCGTCACTGCATGATCTGTTGCTGACCACGAGGCATTTAAGGAGATACTCCGTGACTCCTCACGAATTCTTTAACGTCGCAAACAGGACGACGCGATCAGCAGATCCTCTCAAGACTTAGAGAGCCCGTTGTGCAGCCCACAACTCGGATTTTGGGCCTACCATGCCACACCGAGCAGCCCGCTGGTCAGTACCGCTCCTTGGGAGGGTTCGTGTCCTCCGGGACAATCGAGTCGTCAGACACAGTCTTTAGCCCTATTCAATGGGTTTGGTCAACGAGGCCCTATCCTTCATACACGGGGTCCTATCACCTGGACAGAAGAGACTCAATGCAGAAAGAAGAGACAGACAAACTCAGACTCGACAAATAACATAGGGGGAGTGCACATCCATAGGGCGAGGGGATAGGCTAAGGGCTTGGCGAGATTATACCAACTCCAGCTTGGTCAAAATCGTGGTCAACGGCTCCGGTCAATGCCGAGGTCAACGCAATCACACCCTGGTCAACGCTCCAGTCAACCCTCTGGTCAATGCCCAGTCAACCTCTAGGTCAGCTATGGCTGCGACACCTTCCTCGCCAACCTCCCTTCTCTTCCTCCACCTTTCTTCTTTCTCGCCCTTTCTCCTTTTTTTTTTTTTTTTTCACCCCCACTGTCTGCCTTCCACTTCGTTGTCCCTCCTTCCTTCTTCCCCGCCTATGTCTCCTCCTTCCTTCTTCGTTACTCCGTTTTCGAGCTCTACGGCTATGGCCGCCACTTCGTCTTGGACCGCACAACCAATCTTGTATCGCTCAGTTCTCTCTCTCTCTCTCTCTCTCTCTCTCTCTCTCTCTCTCTCTCTCTCTCTCTCTCTCTCTCTCTCTCTGTGTCTGTTTTCTTCGTCGTTGTCTTCCTTGCAGGTACGCGGCACCTGATTCCGCAACAATCTATGGCGAACTTCCTTCTTCACCGGCGCTCCTCAACTATGGCGCCATACGGCGCGCGTCTCCCTCCTGCTGCAACGGCGATGGCGCATGGGATAGCGGGTACCAGCTCCGATACCAGTGCAATGAGACTCACTTCCATTCACACTTCACATACATACGAACAGAATGCGCACCAAACTGGCGACAAGCGCCCACTTCCAACTCAGAGATATGGAAACCCGGAACACAGTTCAGATGCAATTTCACTTCAGATGGCTATGGCGCATCAGCGCCTGTACAACTCTCTGTTCGTCACTTGCTCAACACTGTTGTTCGCACACAGGATCACCCTAGATATCCCACATGCAACAAACTGTACACTCGCACACTCACACACGCTACTCTCTCTCCTATCAGCTATGGCGGCTATGGCCGCTGCTACCCTATCGCTATGGCTAAGCTTCCTTCTCGACCGCTTCGTCTTCGGGCCTACTGCAGACCACCTCGCACGAGTCGCTGTGGCAGCGCTTCCACATGGCTTACGCAGGAATCAATGAATGGCTGGTCGCTGACTCTCAATTTATACTTATGTAGCTCGTTGGTCTGGCCCTTTCCCATGCCCGTGGTGCACAGTCCCGTACGGTACTTGCTTGACTGGACTAGGACTGACTGAGACTGGGACAGCTGACTCAGCACGGGTACACTCCACCACTTGCCCACTTGCCTCTGTCTCAAACGTGAGCAGCTTCGAAAGGCCAATACTAGGACCATCCGGAAGGTTTAGTCTTGGCCTTTCGGAGACTGTAGCAGCTACGACCTTGACCTTTCAGAAGTCCTGAAGCTACGACGTCTAGAACTCCTAAGACCTCTACCCGACAGATCTACAGATCGAACCCTTACAACCTATAGACCATACGACACTCTACCAGTTGTTATGAATATACAGGTCACGGGGTCAACTCCTGGGGTCGACACAAATACTGTACACAGGTATTCTTTCTTTGTTGTTTGAACGGTCTGCATTTCAACAGGCCATGGTTGTACCAACTGCGCTAAGCCCATTGATTGTTGCGTGCCTTTAACCCCCTCCCCACACACCTTCTCCTAACCCTCCCC